ATACTAGTAGTAAATACTTCTCTGGATAAATACTGATCTGAGAGAGAAGCATACATTTGTAACTCTGAAACGAGTGGAAGCAAAATATATCTGTCTACGTGGACGAAGGAGCCCCGAGTTCTTTCCTCGTGTGCTGACCTCGTTGCCATAGAAAATAAACATGGCGGCTGTACGCAAGAAAAAATCTCATGCGTAAAAAATACACAAAAATACGTAAAAATAAATAATTCGGAATCTCCGTCGTGAGATTCGCGACACTCCCACAGGCAAGAGAATAAGAAAGAGGGAGAGGGAACAATAAACCGTGTCAGTACACGGTCAAATACATAGAATCGCAATCGGAAGTGTGTCGACGAAGACACAAAGACAGAAAGAGAGAATAGTAATGAGTTGTGCTTGTACGCACGATCGAATAACCAACACGCACTCAGTGTCAGCGGAGGCACAAAGACAGAAAGAGAGAGAAAGAAACGCTAGAATGTTAGTCTGACGAATCAGACAAGATCCTTATCTTTCATGTCCTTGATGCCTTGACGACAACGGTCAGCAGCACGGCGTGTAGGTCTGGCGACTGGCTGTGGGTTACTAGTAACCGGAGTCCGTGGAGCTGCAGGTTCTGCTGGTGGTGTAATATTCGGTGGTGTTGCAGGTTCTGGCATGGTCTCAAGTGGGTAAAGTAAGGTGACAGGTCTCCTAATCCGTCGGTCTGTTCCAGTTACTCTGACCGTGGCTGATCGGATCTCTTGATCTGAGCTGCTGTGCACCTCCACTACTCGACCAAGTTTCCATGAGGCTCTGGGCATGTGTTGCTCAGCAATTATCACCACGTCACCAACCTGAGGCTGCATTGAATGTTCACCACGTTTCCTGCTGTGGGCATCTGCTCGTTCACGCAATGCGAGGAGGTAGTGTTTCCTCCAGTGGCTCCAGAAGGCGTCCACTAACGCTTGACCTCTCTTCCACGTCTGGAGCAAAGAAACAGCAGAAGACAAATCGGGAACAAACTGAGTATCAAATTCATCATGAGTAGGAGACAGAGGCGGGAACCCTAAGCTAGGTTTCAGAGATAGAAAGTGAGAGGGTGTGATCACCCCACAGTCACCCGAGTCACCCCCTACATACACCAGAGGCCGACTATTGACAACCGCTTCTGCTTCAGTGAGTACCGTCAGGAGTTGAGTCGGTAACAGGCGTCGATTGCCGATGGCCTTGCGCAACGCTGACTTCACAACACCCACCATGCGTTCATAAACGCCTCCCATCCATGGTGCAGATTCTACAATAAATTGCCACGAGATGCCTTTCGAAGTGGCGTGATGCACCACATCAGGGTCAATGACGAGTTGCGACCAGGCTTTGTCGATGGCGGACTTCGTCAGTTTGAACTGTGGGGCATTATCAGAGACAATGAACTGGGGAACCCCACGCCTTGCAGTGAAGCGCCGGAGGCAGAGGACAAAGTGCTCCGCACTCATGTTTTCCACTAACTCCAAGTGTCCTGCCCTTGTCACTAGACAAGTGAATAGGCATACCCATGTCTTAGATACTTCGCTGTCTGGGTTGCGCACATAGATTGGCCCGAAATAGTCGAGTCCGGTGAATGTAAACGCGTCAGCTGCTGTTACTCGCTGTGATGGTAGCTGGGGCATCTGTGGCTGATGATACGGTCCACCTTGCAGACGTCTGCACACCACACACTTCTTCAGAACAGATTTGATGGAGCGTCGGCCTTGAGGGATCCAGTACTGGTTTCTCAAGGATGCCAATGTGTGGGTACCACCCGCATGCATCAGACTGTGGTGAGTCTCACTGATTATTAGTGTGGTCAGGTGAGAACTGCTGGACAGGAGGATAGGCGAACGTGCCGACTCAGGAACGTCTGCAAACTGTAGGCGCCCAGCAGATCTGATGATTCCTTCATGAGTGTAGAGACGGAGAGAGACAATAAGTTGATTAGATTTTCCATCTTGTAGATCCGAGTAAGTCTGAGCGTACTGCTGGCGTTGGTCAAACTTCAACCACGTCACGTGAGCTTTGCGGAGCTCTTCAGAGGAGAGCCAGGGTGTACTGTGACATCTCTCTTGCTTGCGGCATTTTTCGACGAAACGACTTGCCCATGCGGTAACTCGAATCAGTTTGCTCAACGACGAAAATCTAGTGATGTCAATGCCAAACGGGGGTTCACATCCCTTTTTTTTTGAGCGGGAAGTGGGTGTGCTCTCGCTGCCCCTGTTTTTTTGAACGGGGGACGAGGGCTCCGTCTGTGTCTCCTTTTTTTTTGAACGGAGAGCAGGATCTGCAACCTTTTTTTTTGAGCGGTCGCAAGAAGCCTCACTGACATCACCGGGAACCGAAGTCGAACAGAGGGCCGAGTCTTCTGCAACCTTTTTTTTTGAGCGGTCGCAAGAAGTCTCACTAGCAGGACCGAATTCCGAAGGACCCTCCCCCTGTACATGAGATGCAGGAGCGAATGTACCTGGGAACTCTGGTTCGGAGATAGAGGGATCAATAAGCCAGTTAGGACCATGCCACCACAACGACTCCTCAGAGAGATGTATGGTACTGCCACGGGAAGGCAAGTCGGCTGGATTCTCGAAGGTAGGTACATACTTGCACTCAACACCTGACTCGTTGATATACTTGACACGGTTCTGTACGAAGCTGGGGAGTTTCTTGGTACTTCGAACCCAGCCCAGGACACACGTTGAGTCAAGCCACAGGCAGACCCGTTCGAACTTTAGATCTAGCTGCTTTGTCAGGTGTCTTGCGACTTTAGCGCCGAGTGCTGCTGCCATAAGTTCCATTCTTGGTATGGTCAGTGTCTCTGGTCGTTTGATGGGGGCGACTTTGGATTTGCTGAAGATGAGGTGAGATACATCGCGCCCTTCAGCGCTGGTTTTTAAGTATGCTGCAGCAGCGTATGCAGACTGGGACGCATCGCAGAATATGTGAAGGCTGTGTGTTTCTGCAGACGGCAGCGAGCAGTACCGGGGAACTGTAAATGTGGACGCGACATCCATTTCTGTAGCCACAGTAGACCAGGCGTCATGTATAGAGTTTGGGAGTGGATCATCCCAATCCAAGTTGAGTCTCCAGACTTCTTGAAGGATCAGCTTCGCTTTGACGACTACAGGCGCGTGGATGCCTAGAGGATCATAGAAGTGCGCAAGGGCTTGTAGTAGCTCGCGTTTCGAACGGACGAGCCGTTGGGACATCTGTGTGTCGGAGATATTCAAAGTGTCATGGCTGGTGTCCCATGTGGTCCCCAACACCTGCTGAAGTACACTGTCTGCTCTGTCGCCTTCCGGTAAAAGGTCCTTAAGTTCTTCCGAGTTGGTGCTCCATTCGCGTAAGTTCATGGAGGCTCGGGCAAAATTGGATTTCGCTGTGGTATAGTACTGCTGGCCAGCAGCAACATCAGACACGCCGCCTACTACGTTGTCAACATATGTGTTGGCAAGAATGTGGTGAGCTTGAGGAGACTCTATACGCGTTAGATGGTGTTGGAGTGTAGCCGCAAGAAGGAAAGGACTTGAGACTACACCGAAGGGAACTCTAGTGAAACGATAAGTGACTAGATTCTGGCCGCTGACAGGAGAATGGATGTCGCGTACCCAGAGGAAACGAGTCACGTCCCTGTCTTCTTCCGCGAGACTGACTTGTAAGAAGGCCTTCTCCACATCGCTGATGATGCCGATAGGAAATGTTCGGAAGCGAAGCAAGACTCCTGTGAGGTCAGGAAGGAGGACTGGTCCTCTGTGTAGGCAGTCATTGAGGCTGGGAGCATCGTGTGCAGACTTGGCTGATGCATCATACACCAATCTTAACTTGGTAGTCGTGCTGGTTGTTTTGAACACACCGTGATGTGGCAGGTAGTGGAGCTTAGAGTCTGAGTACCTAGGTGCTTCTTCGATGACTCCAGACTGGGCCTGTTGCTCAATGACTTCATGATACTTCTCTAGCTGGCGGTGATCTGTGGAGAGTCGCTTGTAAAGGGACTGCAGTCGACCGAAGGCTAAACCATAGTTGTCGGGCAGAGGCGGCGCACAGTCTCTCCATGGCCACTTGACAACATATCTGTTGTCTTCAAATTGCACCGAATCCTTGAATGCTTGGTGTGCTCGGGCATCATCATCACGACAATCGTCTGGTTCCTGTATCTCATCGGCTGCCCAGAATTGGTGAAGATTAGCGTCAGGAACGATGGTGGACGTTTCGCTCGAGGAGAAGAAGCATGTCGCGTCCTTAGGGTCGTTACTCGAAGCTTTCCCGGTACACACATAGCCCAGTGTCGATTGCAGTAAGATGAGACCATCTGGGAAGTTGAGGCGTTCGGATAGAATAAAGTCAAAATAATAGTCACTGCCAATAAGAAGGTCTACTGTGACCCACTCCTGGTTACTGGATAGGGGTTCCGCAAGAGGAAGATGACGCAGAGCAGGGTGACCTGTGGCGTCGACGGGGTACTTCGCTATAGGGCTAGAGATGACTGGAACGACGCTCACGGGTAATTTCTTCAGGGAGCCGTTGGACAGCCGAACCTCGACTTCGACGACGTCAAGCGTTTGATGTTTACGACTACACGCGCCAAAAGTGGCTGTGGACATGGACTCAGTGGCGACTGTAGGAAGATCAAGAGCAGAGCGAAGATCTGCAGTGATATACGACCGAGATGCACCCGTGTCGAAAAGGAGGCGGGCTGGCTTCACAAAGGAGTTGTGTCTAGCTTCTGTCAGCGCTGTTTGCAGGTTGACATTGCCCTCAGGCGAGATGAGCGCAGTGTCGGGTGAGAACGGTTCCGCATGGACGTTGAGCGCAGAGGTTGCCTGACCGAACTTGGTGACACATAAGCTGCGGTGATGTGGTCCGGAACAATAGTAACACTTGCGAGTGATAGTACAATCCCGAGCAGAATGTTCCTTGCGAAAACAGCGAAAGCATTGATCCTTGACACGTTCCTTTCTCTGTTCAACGGTACGATACTTCAAACATTCGTCCGAGAAGTGAGATTCTTTACAAAAATGACACTTGGGTTGGCGGTCGTTCAGCAGTGTTGCTCCGGATCGGTGGGAATTCTGGCTGGGTTTAGGCCTGGTTTGCGAGCTAGTCTGAGCACGGTCGGACTCTGAATGCACTGCGCCCTGTTCTTCGGCGACTTCCTTGGCCTTAACATATTCACTGAATGCCTGTCGCAGTGAACTGACTTTCCACTGAGTTGGTTTTCGCAGTTCAAGCTGCAGCACGGTGTGCTGAGGGAGCTTGTTTAGAATGAGTGAGACGAAGATGTCTTGACCAACGTCTTGGCCAAGTGCTGCGAGACTGCGCAGATGTTCTTCGAGTTTGTCATGCAAGCTGCGCAGTGAGTGGGTCTTGTTAGACGCAGGTGGCAGATTCATCAAAGCAGTGTAGTGTGCGTGTATGGATTTCTGTTTGGATCCATAGCGTTCCTTTAGCACACCCCACACTACCCGATAATTGGCGTCTGTGATCTGATATCCTGCCACAGCTTCTTTAGCCGACCCCACCAGACACTCTCTCAAATAACTTAATTTCTGAACATCAGAAATGCGTGCGTTGTCATGGACAGTCGCAACAAACACATCAAAAAACTCTTGAGATTTCAAAACAGAACCATCGAACTTGGGCAGGTCCAGCTTGGGGAGTTTGACCTCAGGTGAGACAGCGTGGTTAGTGTGTGTAGTGGGTTGCGTCACGACTGCCGTGTTTCTTCTGTGACGGATGTGCAACTGCTTTAGAACGGATCTGAGGAAGCTGATGCGACGGTTACAATCTACACCTAACAGAAGCAATTTGTCTAAGTCAACCTCCGGAGATAACAGGGGTGAGCCCGAAGTTTCTACAAGAGTATCACACACCCCCTCAAAGACAATAACAGAGTCATTAAATTTATCAACAAATATACTTAACTCTTCCATTGTCGTCTCCAGATCGTCGTCATCAGACATCTTGCGCCAGTCGTCATACTGGAGACTTGCTTGCAAGTCTTGTTCCAAGACGCCCGCGTAAATGTGAGCTTCCCTCGACTTGCGTGCAGCGACGAACGACGATGCCGCTGGTGTTGACATCGCCTGAGACGGTTCGTCATCTTCTTCTTTGTAACTTTCCAGTGGAGATTCGTTCTCTCCAACCGGTTTCGACGGTGTTACAGCACCTTTCTTGTTCTTGCCTTTGCTCATCCCGGGTTTTGGCACCAGTTTGTCGCGTCGTTATCGTTACATAGACCGACGGACAAAATGTCTGCACTGGCATCGTCAACTTGCCTACTGCTACGTGCTCCCCAGTGCTCCATCTGTGTCCTGTACTTTATTTGGGGGGGGGGGGAGGGGCAATACCGGTACTTCAGGTGCAGGGGGCAAGGGGGATGGGGTGGGGGGACATCATGCCCCCAATGAACCTCTCCAGGCGTTGCTCTGGAGTAGACTAACCATAGGCGGAGTGTACACATGCAGCACATAGTTTGGGAATTAGAACGCGATCAGACTCGGGCATATTCAAAGGCAGTCTATTGTGATAGTAGTCCTGGACGGATCTCACTATGATGATATAGGTCGTGCCCAGCATCACAATGCCCAACATTATAAATGACTGTTTTTTTTCCTGAGGGGCTAGATGAACATGTGGCTAGACTGCCGATGGCAACCAACAGGCTCAAGGCTGTGTTGAGACTTCGTGTTTGCGACCCGAGTCAATTGTTTACTCACCATGACTAGGCATCGCATCGGGCATCGTATGACCATTTTATATGTCACTGTTCTTAGTCGCACCGGGGGCGTATGCCCGTTTTCAGGAGACTTATCAAAACACATAAGCCCTGTGCCCTGAAGGTTAGGCATATTGTTAGTCTGAATAGTCCTGGCTACTATCCCACTAAGTTCATTGACTTTCTACTGAACCTGTATGTACGTGAGGAAAGTACTGTTCTGGCCTGAACTACGGATTTCATCAACTTGGTAGAAGGTTTGCCTGTGCGGGACGATCATTTATTTTTAGTATAGATGTGACCAGCCTTTACACCAGCATCCCCAACGAGCTCGGTCACGTGGCATTGTCGTGGTATATCACACACAGGTATACAAGGTGGATGCCCCCGGCCCTTCGTACACGGTTAACAAGAGCAGTGACTTCCTTGATGTCAGTCATTCGGAAGACTAACGGGTTCGTGTAAGATAACGATTTGTTTCCGCAGATCCAAGGGACTGCCATGGGTTCGCCTGCAGCAGTGGTCTATGCCGACATTGTTATGCTGTATTTGGAGAATCGGTACATTTTGCCGATCTTAGAGGGGGAGGGTTTAGAGGTTCAGGTTTATAGACGCTTTATCAGTGACATTTTTGTTTCATTGCATGGTTGCGAAGGTCAAGTTCAGCGCGCTTTAGACAGGATTAATAAGTGTTCGGCCCTCGAGTTTGCGCATGAACTGGCACATGATGGCATTGATTTCCTGGACACCACAGTTTTCCGTAGTAAGGGATACATGGCGGTGAAGCCTCATTTCAAGGTCACCAATCGTTTCCTGTATCTGCTTGCCGGTAGTAACCACCCCCGTAGTATGGGTAAAGGTGTGATCACTGGGGAGTTGATCCGTATCCGTCGGTCTTCGACCCTTGACCACCACTACGAAGCTGCTGCCGAGCAGGCGAAGCAGACTTTCCGGGCCCGTGTATACAAGAGCTCCATCTTTCATCTTTCAGACCGTACACCAGGCATGCAAGGCCGGCACAGCTGGGGTGGCTGGGGCGGCCTCAGCCGCCCCACTTTTTTGGCCGTTTTTTTTGTTCTTGTTTTTTTAGCACACTGCAACAAAGCGCGATGATCGCAGCTCAGCTCAAACGTGGCAAATAATGAAGAATCCTTGTGTATCAAGGTCAAGGTGTGTGTGTGTGTGTGTGTGTGTGTGTGTGTGTGTGTGTGTGTGTGTGTGTGTGTGCCTGTGTGTGTGTGTGTGTGTGCCTGTGTGTGTACGTGCCTGTGTGTGTACGTGCCTGTGACGTGTACAGCCGGTGTGTGCACACCGCTAGCTAAACCGACCAACGGCTACTCCCAGGGCACAAACTATTCTGCTGGAGGCAGCGTCGTCTTCGGCTGAAATTCCGGATACAACCTGCAGGGAAGCATTGTGCGCATCTGCCAGATTGACGGTTCCTGGAGTGGGGCAGCTGCCTCATGTAATCGTAAGTTGAATTTCAAGAGAGCCGATATATCCCTCTTGTGTAGAGAAGCTTCAGGCTTGTAGGAAGGCAGATTCTGGTGGCGTTGATCTTTCCTATTTACAGAGCATGTAATAGTCTGGGTGTTACCTGTCACTTTTCATCATCACAAATGATGATCGTGCTTATCACAGGACCCAGGACCAGTCGGGCATCTCAGCCTGAGTCCTTAGGATATATGTTATACTTGTAGGTGTATGGTTAGGGTGTTTCACCGGGTAGAGGCGACGGTTTCAAATAGGACACAGGTTGCAAACCGGAACGGACTCATATTCACTTTCTCTCTTGGTATTTTGATTAGAAAACATATGTCACAGTGAGACTACGATGTGTTATACTCCGAGCCAAAATTTCATGGCTCTGCGATGACCAGACGCGCCATACCAAGCAGGTGAGTTTTTGACGTGTTGCTTCGCACTGCGACTTGAGTTTTACGACTTTCGAAAAATCAACTTCTTGTCGCAGGTAAACAGCGGCTCGCCTCTTGCCAATAAAGCACCGCATACCAATCAAAACTAATGGAAGCACACACAAGGCTTATTGTTACTCTGTACTGGCTGTCGTGGAGCGATAGCAATTAGCTAATTTCAGACCCAAAGTGAATTTGACGTGCACTCTAAAACGTGTCCGGTTTGGAGCCACCTCTGATTTGAACTTTTTTGAAGCGAAAAATTGGGCAACTTGGAGGCAATGGGTCAACACAAAGGAGTGGCTCAGTTCGATTGACTCTGGCCCCAGAGCAAACTTCAACATGCCAGTTTCCTTCCACAAACATATTTCGAGTGAAAAATCAACGCTGATGATCGGTTTGGGTCTATACAAATTTGGCTGTCAAGGCGTTCCGGTATCGAACCGTCTCCTCTACCAGAACACTGAGTTGTTGGCATAAGCCGGTAACTTTTGTCGAGCCTGTTTTAGGCTACCACCTCCTCCAAATATGCTAATATCTCTTGACTGTACAAAAGATGTGCCGAGCAGACACTTTCTTCATCTCTTGACTGCTTTGTGTGTTGTGTGTATGGGTACGTGTATCCAGCCATTCAACTGCAGTGCCAGTCTGGCTACCTGCCCTGCCTGCGTTCCAGCCTGTGGCTGTATCCTGCCATCACAGCGCTGCGACGGTGTTTGGTACGACTGTGCTGATGGCTCTGATGCACAGTACTGCCCAGGCAAGGTCACACCAGCTCCAGGTAAGCACCAGCAGCAGCACTGATAGTAGTACCATGACTTCTATTATTATTACAGGGTGCGACAGAGCTCTCGGCCATTGAAGAAAATGTTGAGTCACCTCCACCACCACACTGCGCTCTTTAGCCGACTAGACCCTCCTGCACACAACCATCATCATTGCGAGGACACTTCCGTAGACGATATTGATAAACTCCTTCAGACAGCTGTTTCGCTAATACATAGCTCATCAGTGAAGGTAGATATTGAATGATTAAAAATATAGACCAAACTGCTATTATATAGGGGGTTTCCACATACAAAACTGGCATAGCTGAGGTGATAACGCGGGAAAAGGAAAGTGTGAAGTACTGTTGACGCGCATTGGACATGCATGCAGCGTCGGATATTCGGCGCGGAAAATCAATCACTATTCAATGCAGAAATAACGTGCCAGAATCAGAGTACTATGTAGCTAGTAGTGAGAGTCTGTGTACTAGTATTGCAGTTGTCCGAGCGCCATGAAGGCCTGCGAACGCACCTCAAGACCCGCCGACGTCGACAGCCACAGCAGCCCCTGGGGCATGACACTGTACTGCTCGCCCGTCGCGCCAAGACGCTTGGCAGTCACTAGGCTTCATGCCACCGATGTTGTCCGCAAGCTACCTTGTTATCTGCCCATCACCCACTGCCGTTGACACGCTGGGAGGCCCCGCGGCATTCGCCCAGAGCTGTGTCGACGGTACAATAACGCTGGTAGAAACAAACAGTTGGTCGTATGATATTGCGTCCTCCGGATTGTCCCTTGACTCGTCTTGTCCCTCTTCTTGCTCTGACGCTAATGACTTCTATTACAAGCAAAATGTAGAGCTACTGTTGACCGCTATTCACTGCTGTATTTATTTTATTACTTTGCATGGCCATGTTGAGGCAGTCTTCGCATCAATTTCCTTTACACAATGCGTGTACTACAATGTATTCAAAACCAATGTCTGTGCCACGCACACATACGCAAACGTTTTAGGGATGAAACGAGTATATCGAATACTCGAGCGCTTGCTCGAAAATTCGAAAGGAGTGAGGACTCGTTTCGCAAAATACTCAAGTATCTTATGCACAGTGTACTGTATGCTTGTACATCAAGCACGTCTGTTACTCTGACCAGTACTGATAACCCATGCAAGTGTGAAATTATTACTTGTCCCTACTTACCAACAAAAGACGTAGTTCAGACTATTTCCTGCACTAGGCTGCATGCAAGACTACATGTGTCAGGTGTAATAAGTTCAGTGTTACGAGAGTGTGTGCAGTACATTGTTTTATGTTGTCAGTAAAATACTCGTACTCGCTCGAATACTCGCTCGTTTTTTCAAAGAGTACTCGAGTCCTCAATTTTGGCACTCGTTTCACCCCTAGGCCAAACATGCATGCACTGAATGCCTGTGCTCTGTGCACTCTGTGCTTGTGCAGGTCAAACCGACTGCCAGGTCCTGTCACCACCGGCACTGGGCTCAATGACCGTGAACGGCTTGATGTTCAGCAACACGACCACGTTTGTGTGCAGTCTCCTTATGGGCTCGGCCGTGTGTACTTGTGAAATCAACGGCCAGTGGAGCGGTGTGCAGCCAACTTGCGTCCGTAAGTACATGTACCAATGCTCGACTGGCTTGTATTATGCATTCCCGTTCATCACACCGCTCATACTGTCAAATGCTGCCTCTTTTCATTCACAATGGCATGGGTCACAGTAGATAGGCCTGGTGCAGGTATTGCCAGTTCCTTGCTTGCTGCAGTACAGTATGACATATTAACTTAGCTGGTAAGGGGTCGTCGCAAAAGTTTTTTGTCGTCCCTGAAACGAACATGATTCATTTGGGGGGGAGGGGGTGCGAGCCAAAATCACAAGTCGACCGACACTGTACATATGACATGTACATGCATGCGATTTTCGTCGTCCAGCATAGCAAGCTGTGTTCGTTTCAGAGGGAGGGGAGGGGGTCCGAGTACGAAATGAACGATGTTCGTTTCAGGGACGACAGAAAACTTTTGCGATGACCCCTAAGCAGTGCATGTGTGCATGGCAAGTGTTAATTTTGTCCATTGCTTCCCAACCCATGTGTAGTGACGACTGCTGCTCTGAGTGCGGCCAGTGACGAGCTAGTCAAGGACTCCGTCTCAGAACGCATGACACAAACGTGTAAGCCTAGTATTGCTGCATAATTAAGAGCAATTTCTCCTACTGCTGACTGCTGAAAATGTTGTGTCCTTCACAACTAGTCTCTTTGTTCTAAGAAGTCTGCCTCTTTCATCGATTCGTGTTTACCTAGCTGCGTTACGCTATTAGTAGCCTATTACCTGTTGTGCAATGAGGCTGGCCTAAAAGCTGCTCGCTCAACAGTTGTGTTGCATGGCATAGAGGGAGATACGGCAAGCCACCTCGGCATATTTGCGGATAGAGCTTTTATTAGAAAGGAAAAGGACATATGGATACGAGTTAAGAGTAACTGTCCACCACTGTAACTAGCTACTACAGTAAAAAAATGCAACAACTAGGCACAAAACTGACAGAGTGCTGAGACATTCGACGACCTGACTCCTAGCTTCAACACATCTCCGTAGCGCTAACCAACAGCCTTCCAACTTGGAAGGTTCAAGGTTAAAAGGAGAGACCAAAGAGGGGAAGGTAAGCGCAACGAAAATGAGCACAAGCTAGTAGTTGAAGCTACAGTCCCACAAGAACAAGAAATGTTGATTGTTACTGGACGATGACGAAACCAGTATTACCTTTCCCTCTTTGGTCTCTCCTTAACACTACGGAGATGTGTTGAAGCCAGGAGTCGGGTCGTCAAATGTTTTAGTGCCGGGTTGTTGCACTTTCTGACTGTATTTAGTATATAGTGACAATTACTCTACACTCATATCCATACGTCCTTTTCCTTTCTACATTAATTTTATTATTGCCATATTGGCTCAACCTCCGAGTTTCAAAGAGCTTTTAGTGGACGACTTAATCCATTTTCGGCAATACTTACAACGATCCAATCAGTCATATTGTAGATCAGGCTATGCTGTGGGTAAGTATACTACTGGCCTTGTATGGCTTATTGTTTGCCAGCGAGTATTTAGCATCATCTACTAGTATTCACTCGTTTGACAGCCAAAGAGTATTTGTGTGGGAGGCTGGGAGTCTCGCACCTGACTTGGTCACGTTGCGCCTGAAGGTCACTAAGACGCGGCCAAATACGGTGGAGCCGTCGCAGTTCCATCTACTGTCGACCAAACATGCCCGGTATTGGCTATTCCGGTACATGACAGCCCATGCCTGTAGCACCAAGCCTGTGTTCACTTTTGCCAAAGGCAAAGGGATCCACCTTACTCGGCCTTATTTAAATAAGATACTCTGTCACGCTCTCAACTGTTATCAGGTTAGCTCCTGCTCCATGCCCATTGTTGGAGCGACAGTCCTGGAATCCAGAGTTGCAAGTGAGGTGGTGATACGGCAAGCAGACGGTGGCAAAGTACGGCTTAAAAGCTCTACATCTGGCAAGTGGCCGGCATACCACCCCAATGGACATCGGAACAGTACACGTAGAGTAGCATCTCTACGTGACAGGGTATGAGCGCAAGTGAGTTCTTATGCTCTACTAATGTGCATTGATACTGTGACTATAGTTGCAGGGAACTTTCTAGAACCGCCCCAACCGGTTTTCGACCGGTTGAAATAGTTGGCGACCGGTTGAAAAGTTACAAATCAGTTCCAACCGCCCGTACTTTTCTGTGGGTGAATGGAGCTGTGAATGGTCATACGCTTTTTTCTGGACGGATACTTCCAGCGAAGCCGCGTGGGCTGGTACTAGGGTCACGAGTTTGTACGGTTTGTACGGTCGAACCACGTCATCGAGCTGTAGCAACGGCGTTGCTACAGTCCAACAGCTCCGCGCGACACTCCAGCACCAAGAAATCTGTTAAATTGCTGTCGAGTGCCATATTTGGGTTGTATTTTGAAAACTATTTCCGGAGGGGGACCCCCCGACTCTTCATTGTACCGTAACCGGTTGGAAATTCGTCCTAGAATATACCCTGAGTTGGTGTACAGATCTCATCACATGAGCCTTAGGCGGGATTTCCTAATGTCACTGGAAAATTCAGCCCTAACAAACAGTGTGATGGATGAATTTGACTCCAGGTATCTGCTTTTGGGAATGCCATGTATGCATGTCTGGCGTGCTGCTGCTATAATGTTGTGGCAGCAGCATTTTGGTGCGATGGACTGTTCTTGTAACGGTGTACCTACCCATTTGCTGTTGCCGGATGCCGTGTTTTGTCAGTTGTGCCTGTTTGAAGGTGCCAGGCCAGCTTGTGTTGGTGCGTTCCCGTTAAGTTGCCAGGGCACCATATTTGTAACGGCGTTCCCGTTTTGCTGTTGTGGGGCTGTGTTTGTATCGGTGTGTTCCCGTTGAAGTTGAAGGGGCACCACGTTAGTGGATTGTGCCTGTTTGAAGTTGCCAGGCCAATCCTGTAACGCACACCTGTTTGCTGATAATTGGGGACATGTTTGTCCATTTTGCTCGAGATTCACATGGCTGCGCCAGTTGCCTTGTGCGGATTAGACTGTTATCTGGCACTAGTCTTGATCTGTTTTATTCAGATTCAGATCAGCTATTGTTCCTATACGAGAAAATCTGTGGGTGCACATCCAATTCATTTGCAGATTTGCGTGCTTCTCCTGCAACGGGCGTTTACATGGTACATGGTGTGTGGGCGTATGTGTGGTGTGTTCATGCTGTACAGGCCAGTATTGCCAAGCACTGGGGACCTTTGGCAATCTGAAGAATGTTTTGTCCGAGAATCGATCCTTGGATCTGTGGCGTTGCAGTTGTGGTGCTCCCGACCCTCTTGCGTGATGGCCGCGGAGACCTAGCGAAAAGGTTCGAGACATACGGCATCTCAATATCTTCCACCACAATCAGTACATCAGCACCACCATCGAGTGTAGCGACATCAGCAATAGAAGACGCACATGATATCATCCACCCTTACGGCCTTAGCGAAGACCCGGGAATACCTGAGAAGATGTTAGCCGCAACTTTACTGGAAAAGTCGTCGGTGACAACGGCACTCCATATTTTAGCTGCATGCAGTTAGGTCTCTCAACAAGTGTACCCAAAGTTTTCAAGCTAATACACAAGCAAATTCACTAGGGGCCGAGTATATTTTCCTACACCTCTCCCTGTTTGTTGTTGTTATTTCTGCATTCAAATTGTTTGTGTACCTGTACATTTATTACAGTAGAGCCACGCATCCACAGCTGTTGTTTCCAAGGGGTCAGGCTCGTCAGTTATACAAAACCTTTCAGCAATCTGGCCTTAGGCTTAGTTCCTTGACTTCTTGTACCACTTTCTTAGATGCACATCCCACTGGATAGTGAGCAATACGTGTGTAGCAGAATCTGTATTCCAGAAAAGCAGAGACTCGAGTCTATTGACACTGCGTTTCTTTTTTTTAACGTTATTGGCTGTGGTGTACCTAGAGGTATACACGTACATTCCTGGGTCCCACGTTCTGTGACGCCCGACTGTATTCGTGGTGCCTCAACAACTTTTAATTTTTTGCGCTCGGGAAAACCTGCCGGAGGCTGTGAGGCTGCAGAGTGTTGGCTGTGTTTTGCTTTAAAAAACCATCAGGTCTCCCCAGATTTTCTAGTCTGGCCCTGAATTTTGCCACTCTTCGGTTTCAAAACCTAGTGTGGTGGTGGAAAGCCTAGCAGTGTTGTGTGTGCATGTGTGTATTTTGTACAGTGCTGGCCAGAGAAATCCAACCTCGTTAATAAAGTAGCGCCGCGTTCGAGAGCACAGACCGGTCCAGTATGTTTACTACTAGGGCTGCATAGCGCCCGGTGTAATTTTATTCATAAGGTTGGATTTCTTTGGCCAGCACTGTAGTTAGAAGTAGGTCCTCCTCTGTTTGTGCGCAATTGTGGTCACAGTGGCAGTAGTGGGTGAGGGGTAGACTCAGTTACTACGAAGATGGTGTATACATGATGGTGTATACAGTCATGTAGTTGAATGTTACTTCGGGCTTAGACCCAGAGGTTCTTGAAATGATGACCCCGGGTTTATGTACATGTATCATTCAGCTACCGTTGTCATAATGGCACTAGTTGATAGAACACCTGTATAAGTACAGGCTGTACATCTAGCATTTTCCAAAATAGCACTCCGTACTTCGAGGCTGCAGCCGTTTTGCATGCAACGTTGTATGTGTTGATCGGTTGACAGCATGTGACAAAGCCGAGGACATACTAGTGTATCAGGAGCACTGTTTTTTAACACAGTGCGTCCCCCGCCTTGTCATGTTAATTTATCAAACAAGGCTTACCTATACCAACATTATACATGTAGGGCTGTGCATGCTTTCAAAATTCTTCCTTGTTGAAGTAGAATACCGTGCTTGTGGGGGCTTTAGTAGTTCCTTTGCCAGATGTTCTATGCGTATCTCAATGACTTATCAGTTTCAGCACTTGGGCAAGGCACATTCGGGCCTACACATGTAGCCTTGAATTCTGGCTTGGAGGCATTATTTATCTATTTTCATGGCTGCTAGGTTCATCCTTAGTTAAGAGTTATTTCTCCGTGATTCGCTAATGAGTCCACAAAGGACGAAACAGCTAGACAGTACTAGTGCTGTCCCCAGATCGTGTATTCTAAATCCATAATACTGACGCTCAATCTCCAGACAGCTGTTTCAGCCTTTTTTAGGTCCCATCAGTGGAGCTCAGAGCGGGAGGTTAAACAAATGGCAATACGGTCTATATGAAATGAACAAAAAAAGCAATTTGAAAATGGCTCAAAGCATCAAAGTCAGCGAGCTATCTGCAAGACACGCACAAAGAGAGCTTTGCACGAAGGCAGATACATATTACATATACCTTTGACACTAACCAAAAAGAGTGCTCAATCAAGTCAACGCAAGGCAGCGTAATGCGGTGATCGAGTCTATAAAAAGCTATAGTGACATGTAGCCAGGCCCCCAGCACAATAAGCTGACTTGCATCATGCTAAAATCGTTCACACAAATCTCTTATAACAATTATTATATAGATTGCAGGATAGGGTGGTTGCACCAGGAAGTGCTGTCTCTGCGATAGTGGGACCAGCCAAGATTGCAGTTCAGTCGTCCACCATCAATCCAGCACTTCATTGGCCCACGCCCTCGATACACCAGCATGATTTCCGGAGTTATTACCATTCATTGATACATGCCCCCCCACCCCCCAGTTCTTCGGCACCTGACCCGAGTTCTATTTGGGCCGCACTACTTTGTAGCAGTCATACTATAGTACTAGAACTAGGGATGTCAGCGAACGCACTGCGCAGGCCTCTGCGCATGCATTGCGTCATCGATTTTTTGAACGTGATCGCGGCCGACAGAGAAAACATGGCCGCGGTCTGCTTGCACCGCTGGGAGTCGTAAAATTACTGTTCTTCTGTCCCCGCGACCATTCAAATCATACGCGATACTCGAGGACCCACGTACTCACCACGTTCTCCCCGGTCGATTTCTCTGAAAGTTTGCACATCGTGAAACACCAGTATGAGAGGTGTTCAGGCCAATTTTCAAGGAATTTCCCTGGTTGGATCGTTCCAAAATCGGACTTCCATTTCTCGCTCGCGGCCATTTCTTGCGCGATGGAAGCGCCCTGCCCTGGTGAGTAACCAGCATCGCGCTTGGTAGAGAGTTGCTGCAATCAGCTCCCTGATGTCTTCGCTGCCATTGTCAGAAGCGATGGACCATGAATTTGTTTGAGAGTCTCTGGATGCTACTATTCCTCAGCCTAGTTTTCAGCCATTCCGTGCATCTTCTTCGCACGATTTATTTTGCAAAAAAATGAAAGTGTTCATGAGTTTTCTTGTCGGCCGCGCGTAGATGGGCCAGGCTGACCTGCGCAGATGGGCTGCGCAGTGCGTTCGCTGATATCCCTACTAGAACTGGATGCACGTGATATCCACTGGAGCTGGCGCTGGCCATGAGCTGACCCACCGCCGTGCCTCCCAGTGTCAATTTTGCTTATGTGATCCTACCACAATCTGGAACATTATCAGTACTCGCCTCTGTTGACTTGCCAGCACTAGTTCTGGTGGATCCGGGCATGTTTCTGCCTTCTCTTAAGCATGTATTCTCCTGCAGGTGCATCTTTCACCTCCTTCTAATGCGCGAGCACATTTTCTGTGGAGATTCAACGACACATAGACCAGAAAATACAGAACGGAACAGTGGCTGCCAATGCGACACAAGTACCACATAGACCTAAAAACTCATAAGTACCCTGGGAGTTAGATGCATTTGCGGGCAGTATGCCAGGATTTGCGCAGCTAATTTAAAATCAGATTAGCAATGCTGTGTGCTACCTAGGTGGCATCTTGGACTCAAAAACCAACCGATTGTGGTCCAACCCAACCGACAGCGTTGTCGGTGGGTTCCGATTGGCAGGTGTTGGATGGACGTATGATCCATGCGTCCCCACAAGCAATGAGAAGTTAACAATGCCACTAAGGATATAATATCGCGGACAGCAGTACAATGAAACTGGGCCATTCATTATCAGCAATATCAGGGGTATATCCCATCCGATAAGACGTACAGCTCGTGTATGGCAGACTTTACAGCAGGTCCCGACATAGCTTGCCCCGTGCCCTTTACCACTCCTGGGCCAAAACTGTTGTACAATACTCGAGAGGGTCTAGCCTAGTGAGTGTGAATAGAACCTGGCAGACCATATCTCCAAGTGATTCACATGTTGGTATATTCTCCGTTATCATACATCAATTCCGAGCAATTTGACACCCGAATATTCTCGCACCACTACTGCTGAAGTATTGACCACAAACCATGTTCCATTTGACTTACAAAAGGAACTTGCAAAAGGCATGAGAGCACTGGAATCCGTAAAGACTCTCGCATTATTTATTAGCCACCATACATACCTTTCGGGAAGTCGTGTTGGAAGCAGCATGCTCGGAGAGCAGAGCTGAGTGAGATCTGCATACAGTAACACAGCGACAATGAACCACATGAACAGAAGGAAGCAGTCGTATCCGTACACATCTGAATATGCGCTTATGGGAGGAAAATCCGTGCGACAAAAGAGGACCGTGTTATGCAGGTGTATGTCTTACCCGGGTACGTACTAAGTGAGTTCCACCATACGTATATAATTGTATTGCAATTGAATCACTTGACTGACTGGAGCCAAAAATATCAATTGGCACTTACTCCGGTTACCCGAATGTTTCGGTACCACTATCATTAGGTTTTTTGCAATCGAACCAAGTCATAGTTGAGTCATTTTCAATGCGTTAGGTGTTACCTGACGTGCTCACTGCATCAGCCGCTATGTCAGATTCCACCAGGCATGCACCAAACCAGGCGCAATGCGCACACTGATGATGGTGGTTGGCACACAACGAGCAGTAGTAAAAGTGAAAGGACTTTTTGCATGTGATTTTGTTGTAATTTGTGCCAGTCGAATTGTCTCATAACTAGTTTATCGTTAGCTTACTAGTTTGTTTATACAAAAGAGAAAGACCAAGGAACTACAAGTTACGCTATACTGTCCACTAACACCACCAGTTACTAAACAATCAGCTCATGCGATAGCTATTGCACGACACTGAACAGCTCTAGCACATCTTGGATGCGCACTCCAACAGCCTTGTGGACGACGACCGTCACTGGAGAATCGGTCCGTCGCTCCACCAGCCCGGCGGCACAGTGGACAGTGCCTTGGGGGTGTCAGGCATGGATCAGGCTGATAAGGACGTGGTGGAGACGGAAATGATGTTTGCAAGGAAGAGTGATGATATGCGTATGTGCTCTCCGCCAGTTGTTGAAGCAACAGTCCGGCAGTGGAAAGTCGGCAAGGTTAAAATAAGTGACCAACTGGGTGAAAGTACACCAAATGTGGCCCATCTCTTGAGTGGTGCGGACCACGGCAAGGACCTGAAGTTGAAGGTCGTCAATGGCAACACCGCATGGTCGACGTCAATGGGAACATCAAGCCATCAAGTTGGTGGAACTATGGAATGTCCGTCGCAGGCTGCAGCGACAGGGTAACGTGCTCAGGGAAGAGTACAGCGACGATGATCAGCTGTGTCTTGCACGCAGTCGTGTTGATCGTGGCGTGCAGAACAACAGAGTCAGTTGCGGTATTCGTACATTTGTCTGTTTAGGATTGTGATCCCCAGGAAGTCCTTTGGTGAGGAGTGATGTCACGCAACGAGCAGTAGTCAAAGTGAAAGGACTTCTTGCATGTGATTTTGTTGTAATTTTGTAAGGTGTGGTGGCAGAACTTTCAGCTGGTAGTGGGTGATGGGCTGTCTGTGTGACAACAATTACGGGCTTGACGAACGACATAATTATGGCGAGTCGATCTTTGGCCAGTTGCTGAGTTGGAGATCGTCACCGTAGACCCAGAGATCTGGTCCACGGTCCAGGGGTTGGGATCCCACTGTGGTGAGAGCTTGTGTGCCTGCTCATTGCGCTGACCAGGAGTGAGGATGGGGGCGTTTGACCGGCGGGTGGCATTGGCAGCGTCGCACTGGGATT